TTGTTCTGGTGCTGGTGTATTTTGAGTGGTGGTAGAGGGTTTATTTTGATGTTTTTTAATTACTTTGTTTATTTGTTGCAGTGTGTAGCCATTTTGTTGTAGAGTGTTTTTTAATTCTTTGAGTTCGTTTTGAATGCTGTCTTTGTCGCATATAGTAAATACTTTATAGATCAACAAGTTTATCACAGCTTGTTTTTGGGCTGGGTGATGATGAGATGCCGCGTGTAAATATCGATTGGTGTGGGTGGGTTTTCTATAAATTTGATGGCCTAAAGAGCCGTCTGGTTTTCTTGTGACCAGAACATCTAAAAATGGAAGTTTACTATGTTGTTCTGTTTCTAATGTGAAGGTAATGTTTAGATGTTGTTTATTGAGAAAGTCTAAAAAGTTATAGAGTTCTTTCTCCCCATGTTGCCAAATGACAAAGGTGTCATCTACGTACCGGTACCATGTTTGTGGCTTTAGTGGGCCTTTTTTAATGGCCTGGGATTCAAAGTGTTCCATAAATATGTTTGCTATGATTGGAGATATCGGTGATCCCATAGCTGCACTTGTGATTTGTGTATAGAATTGGTTATTGTAGGTGAAATAGGTTGTGGTCAGGCAATGTTCTACCAATAATATAAGGTCGGATGATAGTTGACCTGAAAATTTACTTATGTTGTAACGGAGCCGAATTCTTCGGCTTCGTTCGGCCTTCCACCTGCCGGACAGCTCGGTCGGCGCCAAGGTTCGGGGAAGGGGAAAGCGAGAAGTTGCGACAATTAATCCGTGTTTTATGCTGTAATGTACTTGCTATTTATTCATCTAAATATATTTACAATGGTTTTAAATCCGCGGTGTCGGTTGCTTACGATCTAATTTCACGGCGGAGTTCTTGTCAATGCGGGTTGACTATCGACAAAATAAAGTTACTTAGTGTTTGATTCCGCGGTGTCGGTGGATCAATTTCGTACAGTCGGCGGAATTCATGTCGGAAATTTACGCGCGGTTTTAATTAATTCGTTCGGAGCGGCGGGCGCGTAATTACTTAAATCTAATTTGGAACATTTATTTACACGGGCTTTATATACAGATTAGTCGTGAAAACTACTGTTTTCGATGTGGCGGTTACAACGGCCGTTTGTGCGCCGTAGCGCCGGAAGTCGAGAATCTCTCGACGGGAATCGGTATGGCGGCCGAGTCAACACCTCGGATTGCCGGAAGTCGGTTTCCCGAGTCAACACCTCGGGGGGGAATAATCGGTAGCGGTATCTCCCGAGTCAACACCTCGGGGAGATTAATCGATAGCGGTATCTCCCGAGTCAACACCTCGGGGGGGATTAATCGGAAATGGCGGCCGAGTCAGCACCTCGGATTGCCGGAAGTCGGTTTCCCGAGTCAACACCTCGGGGGGAATAATCGGAAACGGTATCTCCGAGTCAACATCTCGGAGCGGTAGCAGGATAGGAATGGCTTTCGAGTCAGTTCCTCGAGCGCCGGGAAAGGAATAGGTCCTTACTGGTCGGATCGGCCGGCTTTTATACCCCGGAGCGGCCTATGGTCCGTCCGGGGTCGGCGTGTGGAACGCGGGTGTTTGCGCGCCGCGGCATGCACCTGTCAGGTGATAAGCGCGTGTTCGGTCTGTGTCGTTATAGGCGCGTCGTCGGTATTATATCACGCGGTCGCTCGCATAGGTGAGTTCGCAGAAACTATAGCGAGTTATGTTATAAAGACTTGTAGAACTAATAATGATATAAAAATAATATAATATAATAATAATACTAAAGATATAATATAAAGAAAACAATTAATTAATATAGAGAAGAACAGAAATATATAATAATAATTAGAAATATTCTCGTGACGGGGTTCGCTCCGTCACAATATTAATGGTGTCATGGATTGGTACCTGCGTGAACAGGGACACAATATCAAAACTGACTAAGATGTCATTAGGTTGAAGTTTGATGTTTTTGATTTTAGAAATAAAGTCAGATGAATTTTTTATCATGGTGTCAGTTTTACTCGTGAGAGGTTCTAGTTTGCTGACCAGGAAGCGAGCTAGATCGTATGTAGGTGAGTTTATAGCGCTTACTATGGGTATGAGGGGTATGTTGTTTTTATGGATTTTGAGTAGTCTATATAGTCTAGGTGGTACCGCGTTTCTGGGTATTAACATGTCTGGGAGATTGTTTTTCTTAATGAGATTGGTGGTGAGAGTTTTTAGTAAAGCAGTAGGGTCTTTCTTAAGTTTGTCATATGTGGAGTCTGTAAGTAATGTCTGAATTTTAGTGTCATAATCTGTTTTATTCATGATCACTGTTGTATTGCCTTTATCTGCTAGAAGGATGATAATATCTGTGTCTTGATTTAATTGTTTCAAAGCACAGCGTTCAGATCTAGTAAGATTATGAGTTGGCAATTTTGATTTATTCAGTATGTTAGCCATTAGTCTGCGGATATTGTTAGCAGGTTTTTGGGAAAGAAAATGTATGGCTGTTTCTATATGACTAATTATTGTCTTTTTTGGGAGTTTAGTTGGCGCTACCGCGAAATTGTGGCCTTTGGCTAAGGC